AACATTCTTTTTGAACAGCATTCCTTTAGAACAACTTTCCAACATTCCTTTGGAACAGCATTCCTTTGCAACAAAATTCCTTTAGAATAACATTCTTTTAGAATAACATTCCTTTAGAAATGCATTCCTTTGGAACAACATTCCTTTGTAACAACATTCCCTTAGAACAACATTCCTTTAGAGCAACATTCATTTGTAGCAACATTCCTTTAGAACAACCTTCCTTCCTAAAAATTGGTTTCATGCTAATTTCCTGACATATGGGGATGGCCAACTCCAAAAGTAGAATGAATGTAAAGGGAGAGTACTCAAGGAAGTGCACAATTAACCAGGGCCTCAGACAAGGAGATAATGTCATGCATCCTGTTCAACATCACAATAGAAAATGTGATGAGAAACAAACATGTGAGCACCCGTAGAATTATCACAAACCAATTTCTGAGCAGCTTTACAGAAACACAACAATCAGGAACTTTATGCACCCAATCATTGCAGTACCTGGCATATGTGGACGACATAGCACTACAGGTTAAAAGCACCCAATCATTGCAGTACCTGGCATATGTGGACGACATCGCGCTACAGGTTAAAAACAGCAATCATAACATTAAAGCATGAAAGGAACTTCAACATGCCTCGTTAAAAGCTGGTCATGAGATAAATGGAGCTAATGTGAAATATATGATGTCACAAAACAGGCACATTGGTGACAAAATCAAAATAATCAAATGCACCTTTCAGAGAGTGGCTACTATCAAATATCTACCAGCTACTAGAAATGAGCTCAATGAAATAATGACCGAGGGGAAAGAAAGGATGACAGTAGACCATCATTAGTTCAGAACACAAAAGCTACTGGGAAGCAAACACTTTTCAAAGAGAACAAAGAAGGTGATGTACACTAGTATTTTAAGACCAGTTGTAATTAAGACTTAACAGAAAGAGGATAAGCTGTTCCTCAGGAGAATATATCGTTTGCCAACAGACAATGATGGATGGAGAATCAGTACAAACAGAGAGATATATCAAGTGTGCAAGGACCCACTCTAAGTCACAACTATTATAAAAGGCAGACTGCACTGGACAGTACTCCTTGAGTAGATTCCCTATTGTAGAGCAGCATAAGTGACCAAGTCGACCAACTGGTGTTGGTGCATGACGGCAGAAAGCCATGGATCGATGTGAATGACTGGATGTGGTGAAGCAGGCCAGGACCGTACTTGGGCTGTAGTGCCACTCATGATGATGATGATGTCTAATTTCCTGATAAACTGTTTACACATGCCACATAGTCAACTATACTCCCTGATTACACTGGACACTTAAACAACTTTCCATTACACAGGTCATTTAGTCAACTCTATGATTATTTCAAGTAATTTAGTCAACTCTATGATTATTTCAAGTCAATTAGTCAAATCTATGATTCCACAAGTCATTTAGTCAACTCTCTATGATTCCACAAGTCATTTAGTCAACTCTCTATGATTCCATAAGTCATTTAGTCAACTCTCTATGATTCCACAAGTCATTTAGTCAACTCTCTATGATTCCACAAGTCATTTAGTCAACTCTCTATGATTTCATAAGTCATTTAGTCAACTCTCTATGATTCCACAAGTCATTTAGTCAACTCTCTATGATTACACAAGTCATTTAGTCAACTCTCTATGATTCCACAAGTCATTTAGTCAACTCTCTATGATTACACAAGTCATTTAGTCAACTCTCTATGATTACACAAGTCATTTAGTCAACTCTCTATGATTAAACAAGTCATTTAGTCAACTCTCTATGATTACACAAGTCATTTAGTCAACTCTCTATGATTACACAGGTCATTTAGTCAAAACTCTATGATTACACATATCACTTGATCAACCTCTATGATTACACAGGTCACTTGATTAACCTCTATGATTACACAGGTCATTTGGTAAACTGTCCATGATTACACAGGTCACTTAGTCACCTTTATGATTACACATGTAATTTAGTCAACATTCTTTGATTACACAGGTCATTTGGTAAAATGCCCATGATTATACAGGTCATTTAGTCAACTATCTATGATTACACATATCACTTGGTCAACCTCTATGCTTACACAGGTCACTTGGTCAACCTCTATCATAGCACAGGTCATTTGGTAAACTGTCCATGATTACACAAGTCACTTGGTCAACCGTTGTGATCACACAGGTCATTTAGTCAATAATCTATGATTACACATATCACTTGGTCAACCTTTATGATTACCCAGTGCTTAGGTCATTTGCTCAACTCTTCATGATTACAAAGCTAAAAAAGATGACTTACTTGATGTTTCTCTCAGCTACAACAGCCGCTGACTGGAGCTGGTCTGATGTGTACTTTGTTCTCTCCCTGATGTCAGACAGTCCATCATTTTTCTTGTACGCCTCATTTGCTTGATTAAGAGATTTGACTTGACTCTAGCAGTCATCAACATAGGAGTCAAGTTGTGGGGATAAAGATTTAGAATTGCAGTGTGTTGAAGGTTGGACCAATAGGGGAATATTTTTACAGAAAAAACAAATTGTATAGTTGTTCATGTACATAAAAGTGTCATATTGTCCATATGGTCAATATAGTTGTTCATATTGTCAATATACATGTTCATACTGCCAATAAAGTTGTTCATATTTTCACTATAGTGGTTCATATTGTCAATATAGATGCTTATAGTGTCAAAATAGTTGTTCATATTATCAGTATAGATGTTCATATTGTCAATATAATTATTCATATTGTCAATATAATTGTTCATATATTGTCAATATAGTTGTTCATATATTTTCCATATAGTTTTTCATATATTGTCAACATAGTTGTTCATTATATGGTCAATATATAGTTGTTCATAGTGTCTATATAGTTGTTCATAGTGTTCATTTTGTAAACATATTATGTTCATATTGTCATGTTATGAATGTAGTTCTAATAAGTTAACATCAATACAAAAGATTTAAAGTTATTTACTTGAAGTTATAGACACACCAATATTTCATTAAAATTAAGTGAGGCAGACCACATTATGGTGTAGACCAGGGGTCGGGAATCTTTTTGTCTGAGAGAGACATGGATAGCACATATTTCGAAAAGTAATTCTGTGAGAGTCATTAAAGTAAATGTGTGCATTTTGTGTAATTTCAACACCAAAAATGCAATAATTATGTCTCTGAATTCTTTTAAATAGCATTGCTAATCAAATATTGATTTGCAATCAATATGTAGATCAAAGGAGTCTAAAGAAACATTTTTTTAATAATCGAACATTTGTCTGCAAGCTAGATGCGGCCATAAATAGAATCCCATCTGGCTCGAGCCATAGGTGCCCGACCCCTGATGTAGACAGTCATAATAAATTGTGGACCAGCCATAAAATGGTGTAGACCAGCCATAAAATGGTGTGGACCAGCTATAAAATGATGTTGACCAGCTATAAAATGGTGTGGACCAGTCATAAAATATTGTGGATTAGCCATAAAATGGTGTGGACCAGTCATAAAATGGTGTGGACCAGCCATAAAATATTGTACACCAGCCATAAAATGGTGTGGACCAGCTATAAAATGATGTGGCCCAGCCATAAAATATTGTGGACCAGCTATAAAATGATGTGGACCAGTCATAAAATATTGTGGACCAGCTATAAAATGATGTGGACCAGCCATAAAATATTGTGGACCAGCCATAAAATGGTGTGGACCAGCTATAAAATGATGTGGACCAGCCATAAAATAGTCTGGTCATATTGTAGCACCACTACATGACCCAGATGTCAAAACCACTCTAACACAATAACACAATAATTGCCAACCCACAGATTCACTTGCTTTAACCTCCTTGAACATTTACACAGAAATAAATGACCGTACGTACATTTCCCGTATCTACTGGTGTATAAGTTGAGAAATTTTTGTTGTTAATTTAACTTTAAAACGCTGAGGGGACTTATCTATGGGTCAGTGCTTGATTTGTACATTGAATACGGGGCAGTGTCGAGTTGCAGATAGTGTCAGTGTACTTAATGGTAGCTGTACCGTGACGCAGGTACCGGGTACACACAGACAAAAAAGCTGTTGATGTTGTTGCCAGATATCTCCAAAGCCGTAAACATCATACTGAATCATAGCTGGCCACTGAGTCTGTCAGCCTCTATCATACTGAATCATAGCTGGCCACTGAGTCTGTCAGCCTCTATCATACTGAATCATAGCTGGCCACTGAGTCTGTCAGCCTCTATCATACTGAATCATAGCTGACCACTGAGTCTGTCAGCCTCTATCAACAGGAGGAGAGAGGACACTTATAGAAATCGTGGGCATGTCACTTGATACCACTGACTGAGTAAGAGTGTAGGTTCAATGACATCAACTTTAGTTAGTATACAGTGCAGTGATTGCTGTTTGGTAAATCTGACAAAATTATAAAAATTCACAGAATATCAAACTCTCAAGTTGAATCCTCGATTTATCCACAAGTCTTAGAATATTTCATAATGATGGTTAAAAATCTGCCCTAAACTCATCCATGTGTCATATAATATTTAATAATTGTTGGTTAAACATCTGGCTTGACATACAGATGAGATCCCCTTATACACAAGTATATACAGTGATTACATCCAGGGCTAGGTTATAATAAAAAACAGCAGAGCTACTTCTTCAATTACTATAAGAACAGGCTGTTGTGTCATTTAGAAAAGCTGTTTACATTTCAGACATAACAGCTACAGTTAATGCTGATTCCATCATCTACATCACTTTGAACTCCCATCGATCGCCTTATGAAGAGTTCTTAATCAATGAGCACAAAGCCAGGTAAGATTTCAACGTCTGTTTCAATGTCAATGAGGAAACATGTCCTACCAGAAGTGAGGAATTTAAATGTTAACAAAAGTCCTACCTATTATAGACAAATGTCTATTCTACTGTACACAAATGAATAAGATATTAAACAAGATATGATTTTTACCTGTAATAATTTGACTTCCTTCTTGAGCATGGACACATGAACTTCAGCTTGAACAGCCCTTTTCTGTAAACAAATGTGCCATGGAAATAGCTGTTCATTTTATATGTCTTTTTATGTTAAAAATCTGTTAATGTGTTCAATTACAACAACTTTTACTCTACGTTTCATTGCTATGTATGTCAATGTCATTATCTTTGAAATGTTAGAAGCAATCTGAGTAGATTCAGATATAATGAAATAATAAATTAACTAATTAAACCATTGAGTAGCGTAAAAAAATAATTAAAATCAAATATAGCCCTAATAGTAACCAAATATAAACCTAATTGTAATGAAATATATATGGCATCCTTCCGTCTTTGCGAGACAATGGAGTAGCTATGTAGGTCAACACTTTGACCTTTGGCTAACTAGGCCAATCCTGGTATGACAATCTCGACAGCATTTCTCGCAGGAGAATACTGATTCCTGGTTAGATTTGACCTTCCGTGGTGTTTGGTCCTTTTTGTTACAAGGGCTTCATGTTGTGCATCTTCTGACTTTTTGACTCCTTCATACGCTGCTGCTAGCCAGCTGGAACGTTGTTTGGAAATGATCTCCCATTTGTTGATTTCAATGTTGGTTGTCCAAATGCTCCTTTGCAAACATCCATAAATCTCAGGCGTGGCCGTCCAATAAGTCTTGTCCTTTATGCCAACTCTCCATACAGCAGCATCTTTGGGATACAGCCTTCCTCCAGTCTTCTTACATGGACTAACCATCGAGAATATGCTAAATATTTTTGCACATCCCAAGACCTCTGTGTTAGGTACCTTGTCCTGCCATTGAATGTGTAAAATGCAATGCAGACATCTTTGATGGAAGCTGTTGAGTTTTCAAATCAAGACTGGTACATGTGTTCTACACTTCACTTCCATATAGGACCGTATTAAGCACACATTCCTGATAGACAGTTTTGTTTTATAAGTTAGATTGAGATTATTCCACACCCGCTTATTCAGTTTAGTCATAGTTGCTGCTCCTTTTGCGATCCTGATGTTTATCTCTTCATCAAAAGAGAGATAACTAGGAATATTGGTTCCAAGGTATGTGAAATGATCAACAACCGACAGATTATGGCCCTCAATAGATATGATTGGAGTGGACGATGCTTCTTGCATCATGACATGTGTTTATTGTAGACTATTTGTCAGCACAAACTCTTTACAAGCAAGAGATAATACAATTAACCAGCCCCTGAAGACCTTCTTCTGTGTGAGATGTTAAGGCGGCATCGTCAGCGAACAGCAGTTCACGAATCAGCACCTTTTTTACCTTGATCTATGCATGAAGGAGGGCGATATTGAACAATCTACCATCAGATCTGCTATGGACATACACTCCATCTTCAAAGTCCCTGAAGGCAAAGTAAAGGAGCATCGAGAAGAAAATGGAGAAGTGCCAGTACACAACCCTGTTTCACTCCGCTGCTGACTGGGAATGCCTCAGAGACAGCGCCACTGAAGGTTAGTGTGCTGTGCATGTTTTTGTGAAATGATTGTATGATTGTGAGCAGTCGTGGATGTTTTTGTGAAATGATTGTATGTTTGTGAGCAGTCGTGGGGGATCACCAATTCTTTGCAAGATACTGAACAGGCCTCTCCGACTTAACAAGTCAAATGCTTTTGTCAGATCTATGAAATAAATATAAAGAGGCATATGCTGTTCACGATATTTCTCCTGCCTTTGGCGTAACGAGAATATCATGTCTATTGTTGAGCGCCCACTCCCAAAGCCAGACTGGGACTCTGGGTAGATGCAGTTAGCCAGACTGGGACTCTGGGTAGATGCGCTTCGCCAGACTCTGCAATCGTTTAAGGGCAACACGGGAAAAATTCTCTACAGCTAAGCTCAGGTTAACCATATGCCAGATTAACCATGTGCCGGGCTTACTGTAAAGAATTGAAATTGTAGGCCTACTTATGACAAAACGGGTTAGTCCTCATTTTGTTAGTGATGAATTTTAGTTTCATTATATGGAAGCCTTAGAAAATCTCAAGAAGAAATATTTAATGGCAGTTGAGATGATATCATCGGATATTTCATGAACTATAAACCTGAAAATGCATGTCGAGGTATATCATCCTTTATGTTACACACCATTAGATATTTATTAGTTACGATGGCTAAAAAGGGGAAATAACCTTTAGTCATTCAAAATTGATCAAAACCAGATTTCGGGTTTACAGTGGACAAAAATCAGATTATTTCCCTTTGAGCATTGATCAAGACTATTTACAAAATTGTTACAGTTACATTGTTTATAAAAAAGGGGGGGGGGGGACTGCAATCAGGTTACAGTTACATTCAACATTTCATTTATTCTACTTTCAAAATGCCACAAATATATTTAAACAGTTAAAAGAGTAAAACAATTTTAAAAAATGATCCATATGCAACTGTAAAGTTCTTCAAAGCCATACTAAGTGTTTTTGCACTGATTCAAAGTTAAACATTGCTTTTCTGTCCCACGACCAGCAGGAAAAGTACAGGAAAAGACAAAAGATGTAGCCATTATTTCAGCAAAGCTCCACAACCAGCAACAAGTGCAGGAAAAGACAAAGGATGTAGCCACTATTTCAGCACAGCTGGGACTCCATATAAATAAAAAGCAAGATTAAGATCATGGAGGTAAACTCAGTCAACCAATGCAGGAAATGCAGAAAGTTGGAAAACAATGGCGAGCATTACGCAGAAAGTAAAGACCTTCAAAAACACATGCCTTAGAAAGATCCTGAACATCAAATGGCCTAACACCATTACCAACAAAGATCTACTAGAAAGGACTCACCAGGTGCTCATCAATGAAGAAATCTTAAAGAAAAGATGGAGGTGGATAGGGCATACTCTCCGAAAAACCCCTAATAACATCACCCGACAAACCTTAAAATGGAATCCACAGGGAAAAAGAAAGAGAGGAAGGCAAAAGAATACACATAGTTTGTGATTTTCATAGCCTGGGACTTATACGATGACTAGATTTACCGTTGTCGTCACCAAAGTTTCCTCCACCTGCTGAACAGCTCTCTCTAAAACTGCAGTCTCTTCCAGTTCTTTCTTTTTCTGACGCTCCAAATCAATGTTTAACTGCAAAAGTCTGAAATGTGCAAATGAAACTATAACAATAAAATTGTTATAGAAAGTTAATTAAAATGAAATAAGGCAACAGCATGCGGCAGGTCATTGCATTTAACACTATATATTTCTTATTCACCAAAATCAAGGCATTTGTTCTGTAGCCCAAGACGCAAAGCTCAAATGACAGGGACTCAATTTGAATGTTCTAACAATCAATCAGCGATTTCTTAAACCAACCGTTTGTCATTTTGCTTCTGTAATAAAAGAGTTAAGGATTTTATAAAATCTTGAACTGAACCGTTAAAATGAAACAAATGGATCGAACAAAAACATTTTACAACCTTAGCAAATTGTATTTTTTTATTTTTTCATTATTTTCATAACATTTGATCAATAATTAAAGATAAAAGGAGATGGAGAAAACAATTCATCCCAACAAAGACTTGATCTGAATGGTCATACCACACACACGGAAACCAAATAATGTATGATGTCACATCACCAAACACAATACCACATGAAGACTAAGGCTACAACCATCCCCACCCTGTAAACTTGGTTATTATATGGGATGGTTGACTGTAGCTACCATCCCCACCCTGTAAACTTGGTTATTATATGGGATGGTTGACTGCAGCTACCATCCCCACCCTGTAAACTTGGTTATTATATGGGATGGTTGACTGTAGCTACCATCCCCACCCTGTAAACTTGGTTATTATATGGGATGGTTGACTGTAGCTACCATCCCCACCCTGTAAACTTGGTTATTATATGGGATGGTTGACTGTAGCTACCATCCCCACCCTGTAAACTTGGTTATTATATGGGATGGTTGACTGTAGCTACCATCCCCACCCTGTAAACTTGGTTATTATATGGGATGGTTGACTGTAGCTACCATCCCCACCCTGTAAACTTGGTTATTATATGGGATGGTTGACTGTAGCTACCATCCCCACCCTGTAAACTTGGTTATTATATGGGATGGTTGACACTTCAGAAAAACTGTTGTTTTTATCTTGCTCTGCTTTACTGTAAAACATCAAATGATTCCGGAATATTTAATTCTCTAAGCAGCAGCATATTTTATTAATTGGTCCTTGGATTTCTTCAACAGATAGCTAGAGAAAAATTACAGCATATTTTATCAATTGGTTTCTGGATTTGTTCAGCAGAAAGTAGAGAAAAATTACAGCAAATATTGTCAATTGGTCCTTGGATTTGTTCAGCAGATCACAAGAGGAAAATTACCTTTGATTTTTATCACTACAGAGTTGTCTTTCTCTATTGAGCTCCACTTTCAACCTGCTGTTTTCTTCTTGCAGCTGTTAACAAAAAAATACAATTATTACAAATAAGTTCTCCCACTTTTGATTCAAATCCTTCTAATAACAATAAGCAATTCAAAAGATTATTTTCTGTGCCAAGCCATTTACCGCGCCAAGCATTTCACCATGCCAAGCCATTCACACAAATATAATCTAGTAAAATTATTGAGTTGATGAGGACGCAGTATTATCAGTTTTCCTGGCATTTCAACTTTCCTTAAAAGCTTACATAAAATACTATTCTTGGGTTTGAGTATTTTAGCGAGCACTGCAGCAATGCTTCTACAATTAATTTTTGTTATCCTTTTTTTTACCATAAAATATTCTAATCACTGCCCTACCATACATTTCTTTGACATAGAATTAGACATCTTCAGAAAAACAGCAAAAACAGCAGACTGTCCAGCTAGAGCTAATGTGGTCTTCCTCCACATACCCCCTCATCCCTTCACCCAAATAGAACTTACTAGATGGGCCACAAAGCAGCACGCCGGAGGCACTCTGCCGCTGAGACAGCCTCACCCATCTTCCACTCAACTGACTATATGAGTGGGGCAGGATCAACGAAGGAATATAAGGTCAGCTGGTCAGCTGGAAGGAACACACGCAGTCCGACTTTCTAGGGCTGGGATGGATATATTTTAACGTCCCTAAAAACAGCCCTTCCCACCCCAGGGTGGCGTCAGACACCCTCTAGTAGGCATTTCTTGATGTGGTTTCTACTTTATGATTAAGTCACGCTGTGATGAAACGGTTGTCTAGGAACGGTCCCCTCACAGGCTGCATGATAGATTCATTGACATGGGCTGCCACAACTCATTTATGCCTCATTTCCATTAACAGCAACATTTAATCACATACCTAAATCATATCATTGATATAAATAATATAAGGAGCCTAAAATGTAATGCATAATGTTAAATTTTACATTAAATTTGTTTATGTTATCAATTATTTTTATGTAATTACTTTTGTGATTTTCTCCAACAAATCGTCATAGTTTTCCTCTACTTTAACCTTTCCTGGCAGGTCAAAGGGCGATTGATAGACTTGAAGAGCGGCCCCATCTGCTAAAAAATCTGGCAATGCCAAGGGCAAACTCTGCTTCCTTTTGTGAGCCCCAACTGTAACATCGCATTCATTGTCATTATCTGAACGCGACAACTGTTCTAACCGATTACTAGCGCTGGAGCTGAATGGCTCACTCGCAAAATGGTTCAGGTCTATCGAGCCAGCAGCCAAGTCACGAGCCACGTCTGAAGCGAGGGCATCGTCAGCAATTGGCTGGACAGTCTCCTCAGAAGATTCATCATTGGTTTTTTGTAATGTGACGCTGGGTTTGCTTTGTGTTGAAATGTGCATATGATGACTTCGCTGGTCAGATAATGCAGAACCATTGGAGATTTCAAAAGCTTGGGGAGATGGCTCAGCATTTCCCTTTTTGGCTTTGCTGGGGTTAGATGATGAAGATAAAAACTTCTTGAAAGAAAATGGGTTGTCTTTCGGCTGAGCCTTCTTACCTGAAAAAAAATTAAATGGTATCAATCACTTTAAATCTCTAAGCCTGAATGGTGTAATGTTGAGTTCAAAAGCTATAGGCAAGTATAGTGAAATGGTGAGTTCAATAGCTCTAGCCATGTATGGTCAAATGGTGAGTTCAATAGTACAAGGCATGTATGGTGTATTGTTGAGTTCAATAGTGCTAGGCATGTATGGTGTAATGGTGAGTTCAAAAGCGGGCAAAATAAAATTCCTGATAAATGCGGTTAATTGAGATGCTTAAAAATACAGCCAGAGTGTTTGGTGTGTCATAAATTTTCTCACTGTAAATATTATCAAATTAATCTTGGGTGGAATATGGGATGGGAATTTAGAATAATAATATAATTTTTAAAAAGTGTGGGATTGCGTAGAGAAAGGGGGAGGGGGGTGGGGGGCGTTTACACTAATTGGGATTCTATTTCTAAATAAAATAATCAATCTAATCTTTCATAAAAATCATCAAGCTTATATTAGATTCTGCTCCTAACGAAAACAGGTTATATATTGTAAAACTTAAATAATGGTGCTGAGGCTGAAATTTGTTTTTTGCTGTTTATGTTTTTATGGACTCATTAGGTAAAAATATTTTTTTAAAACACTGCAATATTAAAATGAATGATTAAAGAATAATTTGATCATATATTTCTTGAAAGAATACAAAATATTTAAATAAATGTCCCTGTTTTAAAGCAGACGAATTAATAAAATACATCTAAAATATTTGAATGACTTAATCCTACCTTAAATCGATTTTACGAAAACTAAAACAGCAATAATCAGCTATAAACATTTCAAATGATTAATTAGAGAATCTGTAAGGTACTTTAGTAGAACTCATAATATCTGACAAAAACATGGCCAGACAGCTAGAAATCAAAAACATGGGACTGCTGTTTGACTTCAAAAGCATGGATAGTCTACTCCTAGATCAAAAGAATGGCGTGATTATTCCAAGAGATCAGAAACATGAATGAATTGATAAAAAATGTTTAAAACTGACAAAATCTTTTGTAGCCATTTAAATTTCAGCTCTGCCGTGACCTCAGTTTTTTGCATTACATGTCACAGTATTCTAATAGTGAATTAATTTTGCCATCGATTATGTAAATGTTTTAACGATGATGCTCATACAATTTACCCAATGAGATGAATGTTTGACCATACTTGAAGCTATAAAGCTCAAAATCATTATAGTAATTCTATTTTTATTAAGACATAGGAAAACAGTTTACACAAACAAAGACACATATTTAATATTTATACTAAAATAATTGTTCCTTAAACAAACACAATTAAATAATAGCAAAAAGAAACTAGATATAGATTTATGATTATGATTGGATGTTATTTCTAGGCCTTCACAGGTACAAGAGAGAACTCAATCGAATTCCTTCCACTGCCAATGCTGTATGTTTGGACGTAGATGGCTTAGACAAAGTTTATGAAGCAGATTTTCTTCTAAAATGAGTTAATTTAAGGTAATATGTGGATTTCTAGTGTAAATTGAGTTATTTACAACCAAAAAGTAAGTTATTGATAACAGGTAATTTTGGGACAAGCATGAAAAAAAATTTGAACACATTTTCTCACCAATGCTCTGGTCCTAAACATCATGATTTTTGGATATGTTGTAATGTATGCAGTCATATAAAAAGAGTATTTCTTTAGAAATAGGATATTTCCCAAACAAAAATAAAGGTGGCATTCATTTATTTTCAAAAGTTAACACATCAAAATATGGACAATGTACAAGTGATGTTTCGCTCCTAAGATTCTGATGAATGACCTCCCATTTGTTTAGTCCCAGATTGTTACTGGAGCTAACTACTCTCTTTATTTTTATTAATAAGCCAATGGCATGTTTTTCACTTATGTCATGTCTTTTTTAAAATAAGATTTCATTGGGTGGTTAATTATAACATTTTAAAACTTGGTGATTGATTTGACTGCCATTTTGACTGGGTTATCGTCTGATAATGTTTGTGAAATTTATTTTGACTTTTCTGTCATCTTTTGGATTTATAAAATGTTTTGGTGTATTCCATGAAAATGTAAAATGGGTTTCCTCATTATGAATATTTTAAAAATAATTTTAATATTTTTTACTCAAATGCACAATATTCTTAGTATTGTGTTACTGTAGCACAAATGGTTTTAGGTTTCACATTAGGTCATCAATTTTAGGACTGAAGCTTAACGCTCAAATAAGGGGGGACTAAATTCAGGGTCGAATTTACATGATTTAACGCTCGTGTTAGGGATACTGGCTTGGCATTCAGGTTAGACAGAGTTTTAAATTTTAAATTTCAAGGTTTTTTTGCGGAAAACTTAATTAATTAAATTTACATGATTTTTAAAAATTGTTAACGTTTTATCAGTGTGAAAAAATGTATTTAAAAAAACATGGTAGAACAGGGGAAACCTCAAGTGTACAATTACCCAAAATATTTCTAACAGAAAATTGTTAACTGAAAAAGAAAGATGTCTGCTTTGATTTCTGGGGGCAAATAGAATGTGCATGTTGGCCTATAATCTGCAAAAACAATACCCCAAGTAAATCAAAAAGTGGAGTTCACCCACAGCAAAATCACAAAAGCTGATTTTTGGATGTGCCCAAGCAAAAATTAAAGTCCATGCTTATAGCTAGCCCTTTAAAAATGATGTATTTGTTAGTAAGTATCTTTTATGGCAATCAGTGATCAGACAATAACAAGTTCAACAACATTTTAAAATTTATGGAAATTTTTAATTTATCAATTTATGTCAAAGTGCCTATACTATTCATGTAGACTAATGGAGGACATTGCTAATTAATAAGGAATCAGCCTAAGAAACCAAAAATCCTACCTGAGCTTGTCACATTTGTTCTCGATGCGAGTGATACTGAAGACGGGATTGCTTCATTCACAGCTTGATTTATTTCATCAAGAAAGTCATTATTTACACCTATTGTTTCGATATTTACTCCTATATCTATTTTATCTGTAGTAAGTTTTTCATTTTTTTTATCGTTTACCCCAAATATATCATCGGTATCTAAAAAGGTCAAATCACTTGAATTCTTGGAAACTTTTTTTTCTTTGACACCAACAAAAGTTTTGAAAGAAAATGGGTTGTCTTCTAAATCTCCGTAAACTCCCCTCTCCGCCATCTTAAATTTAAATGTAAACATTGTATTACGTTAATTTATTTATTCGCTTTATATTAAATAATAAAACCTGAAATGTGAAAGCTATCGAATTGTTAAACTATTCTATCTGACAAATGTTTAATTTTTTTTAATAAAGCCTATAATTTTTGTATTTAAATTAAATTAAATTTTTGTTTAGAGTCTTTATATTATTAAATCTCATTTAACATAATGCATTGTATAAAACATAAAACTGTATCATAATCTACAGTTTATGAAATAAGTACACATTTTTCAAGGCAGAGAATGAACAATGCACGCGTCAGTCGTATTCTTGTGAATTGAGGAAGGTGTTGGAGACTATTGTACTGACTGATAGCAAAGGGGTCAAGAAAACGTTAACACCTTTTTTATTTAAGTCTAAAACAAAAGATTGTAGTGATTTATTTATTTATTTAGGCATTTTTATATAGCGCTTATCATAAAGCTCTAAGCGCTTTACAATTATTAAAACATGTAAACTAGTAAATACAAATGAGACACTAGGATAGTAACTACTATTCTATAGAAACAATGAAAATGGCTATAAAACGAGGACACTTTGACACTTCAGGATCAACCCGAAACAGAAAATGAGGTAGGGCAAGGAGGGTGCATCACAGGTCATAGGCGGACCTAAACAGATGAGTTTTAAGGGACTTTTTGAAAATGGACGAGGTTTCACTATGACGTATATGGAAGGGGAGCTGGTTCCAGAACGTGGGCCCATGGAAGCAGAAGGAGCGTTCACCGATGGTCTTAGTTTTAGTTCTTGGGATTGAGAGGGTTCTACTGATTTAAAGAGCTTCGGGGATAACTGGCAATAAGTTGTCTTATTCCGGAAAAAAATTCTTTGCAACTCCCCAATCGAAATCTTTGAAACTCTAACAAAATCATCTTGGCAGCTCTATCATCAGGATCTTGGAAGCTCTATCATCAGGACCTTGACAGCTATATCGTCAGGATCTTTGCAGTTTTATCGTCAGGATCTTGGCCACTCTATCATCAAGATCTTGGCAGCTCTATCGCCAGGGTCTTTTCAGCTATATCGTCAGGATCTTTTCAGCTATATCGCCAGGATCTTGGTTTACTCTATTATCAGGATCTTGGCAGCTCTATTATCAGGATCTTGGCAGCTTGGGAACTGAAATTTTGGTATTTCAGGTGATTTTTTAAATCGATCATTGGGCTCTTAGTAGCTCAGATAATGGGACCTTTGATAACTCAGATAATGGGACCTTTGATAACTCAGACTCTTGGATCTTAGTAACTCAGACAATGGGACCTTGATAACTCAGACTCTTGGATCTTAGTAACTCAGACTCTTGGATCTTAGTAACTCAGACAATGGGACCTTTGATAACTCAGACTCTTGGATCTTAGTAACTCAGACTCTTGGATCTTAGTAACTCAGACAATGGGACCTTTGATAACTCAGACTCTTGGATCTTAGTAACTCAGACTCTTGGATCTTAGTAACTCAGACAATGGGACCTTTGATAACTCAGACTCTTGGATCTTAGTAACTCAGACTCTTGGATCTTAGTAACTCAGATAATGGGACCTTTGATAACTCAGACTCTTGGATCTTAGTAACTCAGACAATGGGACCTTGATAACTCAGACTCTTGGATCTTAGTAACTCAGACTCTTGGATCTTAGTAACTCAGACAATGGGACCTTGATAACTCAGACTCTTGGATCTTAGTAACTCAGACACTAGGACCTTTTTAAACCAGACTATGGGATCTTGATCACTGGGATCATGGTAATTCAGACAATGGGATATTGATAACTCAGATCATGTGATCTTGGTAACTCATACACTGTCACTTTGGTAACGGAACCACTAGGATCTTGTAAACTCGGTCACTAGAATCTTGATAACTCATGTACTGGGACCTTGGTAAATCATGTACTGGGACCTTGGTAAATCATGTACTGGGACCTTGGTAAATCATGTACTGGGACCTTGGTAAATCATGTACTGGGACCTTGGTAAATCATGTACTGGGACCTTGGTAAATCATGTACTGGGACCTTGGTAAATCATGTACTGGGACCTTGGTAAATCATGTACTGGGACCTTGGTAAATCATGTACTGGGACCTTGGTAAATCATGTACTGGGACCTTGGTAAATCATGTACTGGGACCTTGGTAAATCATGTACTGGGACCTTGGTAAATCATGTACTGGGACCTTGGTAAATCATGTACTGGGACCTTGGTAAATCATGTACTGGGACCTTGGTAATTCATGTACTGGGACCTTGGTAAATCATGCACTGGGACCTTGGTAAATCATGTACTGGGACCTTGGTAAATCATGTACTGGGACCTTGGTAAATCATGTACTGGGATCTTGGTAACTCATGTACTGGGATCTTGGTAATTCATGGACTGGGAGCTTGGTAACTCATGTACTGGGATCTTGGTAATTCATGGACTGGGAGCTTGGTAACTCATGTACTGGGATCTTGGTAACTCAAGTATTGGGATCTTGGTAACTCATGTACTGGGATCTTGGTAACTCATGTACTGGGATCTTGGTAACTCATGTACTGGGATCTTGATAACTCATGTACTGGGATCTTGGTAACTCATGTACTGGGATCTTGGTAACTCAAGTATTGGGATCTTACCAACTCATGTACTGGGATCTTGGTAACTCAGATACTGGGATCTTGGTAACTCAAGTATTGGGATCTTGATAACTCATGTACTGGGATCTTGGTAACTCATGTACTGGGATCTTGATAACTCATGTACTGGGATCTTGGTAACTCAAGTATTGGGATCTTACCAACTAATGTACTGGGATCTTGGTAACTCAGATACTGGGATCTTGGTAACTCAAGTATTGGGATCTTGATAACTCATGTACTGGGATCTTGGTAACTCAAGTATTGGGATCTTGATAACTCATGTACTGGGATCTTGGTAACTCAAGTATTGGGATCTTACCAACTCATGTACTGGGATCTTGGTAACTCAGATACTGGGATTTTGGTAACTCAAGTATTGGGATCTTGATAACTCATGTACTGGGATCTTGGTAACTCATGTACTGGGATCTTGATAACTCATGTACTGGGATCTTGATAACTCATGTACTGGGATCTTGATAACTCATGTACTGGGATCTTGATAACTCATGTACTGGGATCTTGATAACTCATGTACTGGGATCTTGGTAACTCAGATACTGGGATCTTGGTAACTCAAGTATTGGGATCTTACCAACTCATGTACTGGGATCTTACCAAATCAGGCACTGGGATCTTGGTAACTCAAGTATTGGGATCTTGGTAACTCATGCACTGGGATCTTACCAAATCAGGCACTGGGATCTTGATAACTCATGTACTGGGATCTTGGTAACTCAAGTATTGGGATCTTACCAACTCATGCACTGGGATCTTACCAAATCAGGCACTGGGATCTTGGTAACTCATGCACTGGGATCTTACCAACTCAGACACTGGAATCTTACCAACTCAGACACTGGGATCTTACCAACTCAGACACTGGGATCTTACCAACTCAGACACTGGGATCTTACCAACTCATGCATTGGCACTCTGGTAAATGAACCACTAGGATCTTGTAAACTCGGTCACTAGAATCTTGATAACTCATGGACTGGGATCTTGGTCCTCATGTATTGGGATCTTACCAAATTAGGCACTGGGATCTTGGTAATTCATGGACTGTGATCTTGGTAACTCATGCACTGAGATCTTTGTAAATCATGCACTAGGATCTTACCAACTCAGTCACTCGGATCTTACCAACTCAGACACTGGGGATCTTGGTAACTCATGCACTGGGATCTTTGTAATTCATGCACTCGGATCTTACTTACTCAGTCACTCGGATCTTACCAACTCAGACACTGGGGATCTTGGTAACTCATGCACTGGGATCTTTGTAATTCATGCACTGGGATCTTGGTAACCCATGCACTGAGATCTTTGTAAATCATGCACTAGGATCTTACCAACTCAGTCACTCGGATCTTACCAACTCAGACACTGGGGATCTTGGTAACTCATGCACTGAGATCTTTGTAAATCATGCACTAGGATCTTACCAACTCAGTCACTCGGATCTTACCAACTCAGACACTGGGGATCTTGGTAACTCATGCGCTAGGATCTTTGTAATTCATGCACTGGGATCTTGGTAACCCATGCACTGGGATCTTACCAAATCCGACACTGGGATCTTGGTTATTTAGCACCCCCCCCCTACAAACCTACTGTCACACTACAAGTTATTGTAGAAATGGAAAATATAAACAGAATTAAGACTAAGTTAAACCTGACTGTGGCCTGTCTAAGTGTCCTCCGTCTCTCTGTCACGACGGCTGTGGGTGTCCTATACGCCTGTGGATGTCCTATACGTCTGTTGATGTCCTATACGACTGCGGGTGTCCTTATACGCCTTTGGAGTCCTATTCACTTTTTGATGTCCTGTACGACTGGGGCATGTCCAAGTGTCCCCCGTCTTCCTGTAACAACGCAAGTGCATCTCCTGTACGCCTCTGGATGTCCCATTCGCCTGTGCGTGTGCTATACGCATTTGGATGTCCCGTTAAAGTAAAGTTTATCTCACAGCTTTGACATGCATTGGACCTAAACTGATTAGATAACCTGCATATTATTATCTATTTCATGACATTTTAACAGACAAGTCAACCGCTATCTGGATCGTTGTTGAGATAACTTCGTGGACATTATGGTCTTGTAGACATTGGCACTAATTGATGCAACATAAACTGGTTCATATCCCTTATAACAGTGATTCCCAAACTTTCGTCATCTGTGTACCCCTGTCTATAATTTTCCTAACATTGAGTACTCCGCGTTAAAAAAAAAATAATTGCAGATACTTAAATAACAATTTTTAAAAATATTGATTTTATATTTTGCAGCTCGTACTCCCACCAAACTCTTCCAGTATCCCCCAGAGGTACGCATACCACACTTTGGGAAACAGTGCCTTATAAGGTCTGATAACATTTTTTAAATGGTGATTCTAGGTAAAATTTTGTCAAAATAGGACAAGGTATAATGTTGACCTTTGACCCTCAGACGCATGTTGGTTCATTTTAAGGCTAGACTGTACACTCACCTAAAGTTACGGGACAGTCCTAGCTAACTACGCTGACATCTGAACAATGGAACTGACCTATTAGTACTTCTCTTCACTGCTGGTGTAGTACTTCATCTGTTTAACTACGGCCAGTGTAGTACTTCATATGTTTACTGCTAGTGTAATAATTCATTTGTTTATTGATGGTGTAGTACTTGATCTGTTTGTTGATGATATAGTACTTCATCAGTTTTTGATGGTGTAGTAAGTACTTCATCTGTTTATTGAAGGTCTAGTACTTCATCTGTTTTCTGCTAGTGTAATGCTATATCTGTTTATTAATGGTGTAGTAATTCATCTGTTTACTTATGGCCAGTGTAGTACGTCATATTTTTATTGCAAGTGTAGTGCTTCATCTGTTTACTTTTTTGTAATACTTCATCTCTTTAAAGCTAGTGTAATACTTCATCTGTTTACTTTGATACTTTATCTGTTTACTATGATGCTTCATATGTTTACTGTTATTGTAATCCCTCATCTATTTAATGCTAGTGCAATACTTCATCTGTTTAATGGTATTTAATTCTTCTTCTGTTTACTCCTAGTGAAATACTTCATCTGTTTACCACAAGTTTATTCTTTATCTTTTTACTGGTAGTGTAATAATTCATCTGTCGTGTAGTAGGCTTCTTAATTTGTGTACTTATTGCTAGTGTAACACTCGCCTGTTTCCTGTTAGTGTAGTACTTAATCCATTTAATGCCAGTGTAGACCTAAAACTTCACTTGTTTACCATCATTGTTGTTCTGTTGACCTAATACTTCATCTGTTTACTGCTGGTGCAGTAGGCTCCTTCATCTCTTTCACCCTAATGCTTCATCTGTTTATCACAATAATTCACCCGTTTACCACAATAATTCACCTGTCTACCAAAATAATTTATGTTTACCACAATAACTCATCTGATTACTGCTGACGTGTTTACTGCTAATGTAGGCGTAATATTTTATATGTTTACTGCTGATGCAGTACTTAATAATATTTCAGACCTTGTATATCCATTGCCGTTTATCTATATTGGTAATAAATGTTAAATTAGTCAGCTTCCAAATCCATTAAGTTTCTGTTCAACTACTTACATTTATACAGTTTCTTGATAAAATATTACAACAAAAATCTATTTGACCAACTATATAACCTCATGAAAAAAATACCTCACAATATTATGTTACAATAGTTACCTTACAGTAACTTACGGTTATCACCTTACAATAATTACCTTCATGTAAATAACTTGTAGTTTAAAATCTAGAAGGCTTTGACATCAACGTCCTAAACAGACATGCAAATTTAAGAATATGCCTTTAACAATAATCAATTATGTTAGATGTAAATGAGGAGATATGTACTACTAAGTGTGCAATTGCAGAAAATGTTTATGTGAAGATCTAAATATCTTGTGTAAATAATGTAGATTTAACAAGAGATGTTGAGCTGAGAGAAAACGATGGTCCCGCTAATGGAGAGACTTCCTTCTGGTTGGCAAGCAAGGGTCTGCTTCTTCATTTGCCTTCCATTTCTCTTTACCATGAAATTGTTGGGTCGCTTTGAGGTGACGCGCAACATGGCTCAGGTATTTATAAGAATGAATGCACAATTTGATGATAACAATAACACTAGGTCATTTTATGGTTTCATGGAAAGAATCAACGCTCAGCAGAGTAGTTCTACTACATTTAAAAGATTGAGTCTAATGTAAATAGAATAAGACTACTAAAGTAAGGAGTCAAAGTTCAATAGCAAGACTACTTAAGGATAGAGTCCATTTTTAATACGATAAGACTACTAAAGGATTGAGTCCATATTCAATACGGTAAGACTACTATATTTTCATGTTTCAAGACATTACCAATGACTAGCTGTTTTCTAACACTTACATAGGTATGGAAATACAAACTTTTCTCAATGGACTGTTGACGATAAATTGCTAGATTTGATGATACATTGTTGACCTTTGATGATAAATTGTTGGCTTTTGATGATAAATTGTTGACCTTTAATGATAAAATGTTGACCTGTGAAGATAAATTGCTGACCTTTGATGATAAATTGTGACCTTTTGATGATAAATTGTTGAACTTTGATGATAAATTGTTGAACTTTGATGATAAATTGTTGACCTTTAATGATTAAATTGTTGACCTGTGATGATAAATTGCTGACCTTTGATGATAAATTGTGACCTTTTGATGATAAATTGTGACCTTTTGATGATAAATTGTTGAAATTTGATGATAAATCGTCGGCTTCAATGGTAAAACGTATGATCTCCTCTTTTATGATTTAGAAATTCCTCAAAGAACCTCTGACAAACTATACGACATGCGAATGGCAACATCTGATCTACATAGCCAAGGTCATGAGTATGGACTACACACGCACTCTAAGTCAAGGTCACAGGTTTATTGACCTACAAATGTATACATTAGAAGGGTCACAGAGGTCATTAACAGACTTTGTCGGGGACAAAAACCTGGTCGTCAACTTCGGCAGCAGGAGCTGAGGACCGTTCATGAGATCGGTATGACGACACAGGATGTCAAAATGGCGATGAGTAGAACACGAGGAGTTGAGGGCAGGGGAGGGGGGGCTGAGGTGGGCATGACAGGGTTGGGTAGACTTAGGTAGGACATCCTGGGGCGACATAGGAAGTTAGGAGAGACTGGAGTGAGGGAGACATAGGTAGATAGGAGAGACTGGAGTGAGGGAGGCATAGGTAGATAGGAGAGAATGGAGTGAGGGAGACATAGGTAGGACATCCTGGGGCGACATAGGTAGATAGGAGAGGCTGGAATGTGGGAGACTTGGGTAGGGCATCCTGGGGCGACATAGGAAGTTAGGAGAGACTGGTGAGGGAGAAATAGGTAGATAGGAGAGACTGGAGTGAGGGAGATATAGGTAGGACATCCTGGGGCGACATAGGTAGATAGGAGAGGCTGGAATGTGGGAGACTTGGGTAGGGCATCCTGGGGCGACATAGGAAGTTAGGAGAGACTGGAGTGAGGGAGACATAGGTAGATAGGAGAGACTGGAGTGAGGGAGACATAGGTAGATAGGAGAGACTGGAGTGAGGGAGACATAGGTAGGACATCCTGGGGCGACATAGGTAGATAGGAGAGGCTGGAATGTGGGAGACTTGGGTAGGGCATCCTGGGGAGACAGGTAGATAGGAGAGACTGGAGTGTGGGAGATATGGGTAGGATATCCTGGGGTGACATAGGTAGATAGGAGAGACTGGAGTAAGGGAGACATAGGTAGGACATCCTGGTGCGACATAAGTAGATAGGAGAGGCTGGAGTGTGGGAGACTTGGGTAGGGCATCCTTGGGAGACATAGACAGTTAGGAGAGGCTGGAGTAAGGGAGACATAGGTAAGACATTATGGGGAGACATAGATAGTTAGGAGAGACTGGAGTGAAGGAGACTTAGGTAAGACATCCTGGGGAGACACATATAATTAGGAGAGACTGGAGTAAGGGAGACATAAGTAAGACATCCTGGGGAGACTTAGATAGTTAGAATAGACTGGAGTAAGGGAGACATAGGTCAGACATCCTGGGGAGACATATATAGTTAAGAGAGACTGGAGTAAGGGAGACATAGGTAAGACATCCTGGGGAGACATAGATAGTTAGGAGAGACTGGAGTAAAGGAGACATAGGTAAGACATCTTGGGGCGACATAGGTATTTAGAAGAGACTGGAGTGAGGGAGACGGGAATAGGACATTTTAGGGTGCGACAGGCATTTAGGAGAGACTGGAGTGAGAGACATGTAAGAGAAGGTATGGTGAAGTAACTAGTATGAGCTAGTGAGGGAGACTAGGGTATGGAGACCGACCGAATTTCGGCTTCGGCTAAGGTTTCAGCACCGAAAGTTGCCTTTTTAACACTTTCGGCCCAGTTTCGGTTTCGGCCGAAACAGGAAAGCTAACTTTCGGTTTAATTTCGGTTTTGGCAGAAACAAAAGTTAAGTTTAGGTTTAATTTCAGTTTCTGGCAAAAGTGATTGAAAGTTTCGGCCATCTGGCCGAAAGTGATTGAGGTTTTCGGTCATCTACCAGAAGTCAGACTGTGTGTCTGCCTCTAGGCCAGCATTCCGATATTCATTATTGCTCGACCTCTTGCTGCCATCGTATGTTATATGACTAAGAGCGAAAACTGCTCACAGCTGCATGGTGACATGTTTGTCCTTTATTTCCAAAAATAAATTTCAATTGGACCTGGACAAATGTCAACAGTCTTGTTGAAGAAAAACTAATGGAATGGTAATATTTATATCATTATTTTTGTTTTAAATTTTCAAAAATACAATTTGGAACCCAAGGTTTATTTAATTCGTTGCGTTGTGATGTTCACTTTGGTTAATCATTGATCATGCTCATCAGTGTTGTCATAGGCAAATGTTTATAATATTTAATCATCCTAGGGATTGAAATATTTCCATTATTATTTTTGTTCTATATAAAAAAAAATATAAGGCAACGTATGCTTTTTCGATTCATTCATTTCTTGAAATTTTTCACTATCATGCTCATAAACATTGCTATTGATGAAATAACTCGCGTGTGCATGGATCAAGGGTTCGTATACTAAGTTTGTAGTAGAACTACGGCAGCCCTGTTTACTTTCATGATTTTGGCCACCAATTCAGATGTCTCTTGCGATTCGCCGAGAGAACCGTCAGAACAACTCATGTAAGAGACCCGGTTGAAAAGTATACTTTTCAACCACCACCAATGGGTGTGAGGGAGGTTGGTCATCGAACTAAATAATGACGTCACCAGTACGGAAAGAGTAATGTGTTGGTTAGAAGCTAAATATTAATTCAGCGAAATCTTGCCAGCTATTAATGAAAACATAATGCATTAGTATGACGATAACTGCGAAACATTTTGATGATTTTTATAGCCTTAATAACTGATATTTCGGTGACAATTGGATTCATTAGAGGCACAATAAATATTTTAGATATATGTCTAAGTAGCGTTGCAATTATTTTATAAAAGCAAATGGCAATCCAGGGTCTATTTTGCATGCATTTTTAATTTAAATGGTACAGCCACAGTATTCATTCGATGTTTATACATCAATATTCACGATTATCTCATTTTTTTAATAATAGAAAGTGAATATTGATTCTTTATAATTTTTCGATTTATGCAGAATGTATGCGTGAACGAATTTCAAACTATCTCATTACTTTGGTTGTGGCTTCGGTTTCGGCCGAAATTAGAAAATCACTTTCGGTCGGTCTCGACTACGGTATGAGAGATTTGGAAAGGAGGGAAGGGGTTGTGAAGATTTAGGTGAGGGAGACTAGGCTAGGAGACCTTTGGTAGAAGAGCCTGGTTTGGGGAGATTTAGGTGGTGGAGACTAGGGTAGGAGACCTTTGGTAGAAGAGCCTGGTTTGGGGAGATTTAGGTGGGGGATACTAGGGTAGGAGATCTTTGGTAGAAGAGCCTGGTTGGGGAGATGTAGGTGGGGGAGACTAGGGTAGGATACCTTTGGTAGAAGAGCCTGGTTTGGGGAGATTTAGGTGGGGGAGACTAGGGTAGGAGACCTTTGGTAGAAGAGCCTGGTTTGGGGAGATTTAGGTGGGGGAGACTAGGGTAGGAGACCTTTGGTAGAAGAGCCTGGTTTGGGGAGATTTAGGTGAGGGAGACTAGTGTAGGATAAGTATGCATGCAATATGCCATATTTTAAAAAAAAAATGTCATTTAGCATTTAAATGCTTGAAAACAAGTTAGGGGAAGCAAAGAAAACTTCGGTGGACTTAAGGACATTTGTACTTTAAGCTTACGGTAATCATTTTATTATAATGTTAAACAAGACTTATCGAAGGGGGGCGGTGTGTACCATTAAACTGAATGCTCACCTGTATGCAATGATTACAGGTGAACAAGTATAACGAGTTGGTCATAAAGTACGGCAACTCTGTCAACTTTCTCACCATCTACATCCGTGAGGCCCACGCCAGTGACAGTGAATGGCCGGACACGCGAACTTACAGCATCAAGGTGAGTGGAAGAGGTTGAGAGGGGGAGAGGGTAGGTATCTCTGAGCTGACCTCTGAACTCACTGACTCATAGTAGGGAGGTAAGGATAAAAAGGTCATCTCTGAGTTGACCTTTGAACTCATAGACTCTTAGTAGGGCTCAAGGACATAAAGTTATCTCGGAACTGGCCTTTGAACTCATTGACTCATAGTGGGGTTCAAGGACGCAAAGGCGCTTGGAAATCGACGTTTACGAAAAACGCATTGAGATTATACAATTTCAGGTCAATGAAAGCATGGCATTTCAGTAATTTATTTAAGTAGGTTGATAGCTCAGGTGACAGCTTTAGACAAAATGTTATCTTCGACTCTGTAGACAAATACTTTCCACAACTTGGTATACAAATATCTTCTGCGAATACGTAGACAAACATCTTCTACAACTCGGTATACAAATACCTTCTACAACAAACTAGACTAATACCTTATAACATTCTGTAGACAAACAATTTTCTACTACCCTGTGGACAAAAATCTTGTACAACTCTGTAGACAAACATCTTCGGTGACTCCATAGACACATTTAATATCTTCTAACACTCTGAAGACAAATATCTTCGGTGGCTCCAGAGACACATTTAATATCTTCTAAGACTCTGAAGACAAATATCTTCGGTGACTCCAGAGACACATTTAATATCTTCTAAGACTCTGAAGACAAATATCTTCGGTGGCTCCAGAGACACATTTAACATCTTCTAAGACTCTGAAGACAAATATCTTCGGTGGCTCCAGAGACACATTTAATATCTTCTAAGACTCTGAAGACAAATATATTCGTTGACTCAATAGACACATTTAATATCCTCTAAGACTCTGAAGAGAAACATCTTGCACAACGTCGCACCGTCTCTGTGTTAGTAAACTTAATCTTACTATTTCATAACATAGATCTATATCTTTATTCAAAAGAAATAATCCTCACTTACATCATTTCTGTGACATAAAGCAATAGCCTACTTAGTGGTTTATACCACTAATAAATCTGACATAATTATAGTCAGTTAGAACCAAATTTATTAGTCCTGACATAGATATAGCCGTAGGTATCTGCTTTAACCAATGCCATCATACTATTGACAGAACCATAGGACACTCACAGATCGCCTAGAAGCAGCCGCTGGGTTACAAGAGTTCGGTGTAGCTGGACGACTGATGGTGGACAGCATGGACGACCTCAGCCTCCTCCACTACGGCGCCTTACCTGAACGTCTTTGTGTTATAGGGACAAATGGGGTTGTCTTGTACCTGGGGGAAATGGGGCCGTGGGGGTACTCACTTAATGACCTTGAGCACTGTTTAGAAAATCTTATTGAATAATAACAGTTTAATTTATGTATTTATTGATTTATGTATTTATTGATTTATGTATTTATGATCTATGTATTTATTGATTTATGTATTTATTGATTTATGTATTTAATATTTATTGTGTTTTATTATGTATTATTAATTATTTATTTTCAGCATTACTTTATATTATTATGTATTTTCTGCCCGGGGGGGGGGAGTAGGGTGGTGGAGTCGGAAATTTAACAATACTATAGGGTCTGAGACAACTGGTCTACAGTAATTACCTGCCATAGTCAACATAAATTTGGACTCTCACACTTTCACACTTTGGTCTTCTAGGCCATTTAACCCCGACCCAAACAACTTACATACAGAAATCTAGCAAAGCAGAAAAAAGGGAGGTTTAAAAATTCACAACTAAAGAATTCCCAAATAAAAATGGCCGAATGGCTTACGAGTAGCACTTTGATTTCATTTAGGTCGAAAAGTCCCGCACCTGCACTTATTGCTTTCTGGAAAGCTACAAACAATTTTTTTTCGACCAAAGGTAAGCTAATCCACAGAGTGGTTGGCCAAAGTTAAGCTAATCCACAGAGTTGTTAGCCAAAGTTAAGCTAATCCACAGAGTGATTGACCAAAGTTAAGCTAATCCAGAGAGTGATTGACCAAAGTTAAGCTAATCCACAGAGTGATTGACCAAAGTTAAGCTAATCCACAGAGTGATTGACCAAAGTTAAGCTAATCCACAGAGTGGTTGGCCAAAGTTAAGCTAATCCACAGAGTGGTTGGCCAAAGTTAAGCTAATCCACAGAGTGGTTGACCAAAGTTAAGCTAATCCACAGAGTGATTGACCAAAGTTAAGCTAATCCACAGAGTGATTGACCAAAGTTAAGCTAATCCACAGAGTGATTGACCAAAGTTAAGCTAATCCACAGAGTGATTGACCAAAGTTAAGCTAATCCACAGAGTGATTG